ATAAGGCTCAGGCCAAAGCTCAGAAGGAGGCCGTGAAGGCGAACATCAAGACCGAGAAGGCCCTGAACCGCGAGATCGAGGGACAGGAGAAGCTCGTCATGGCCGGTAAGCGACATTCAGTGCCGTACCATTCTAAGATAGACTTGCACAAACCCAAGTGAACGATAACTTTCAGGCCAGAAGCTGATCGAGGCCGGTGCGAAACTGCAAGCGGAGGCCGCGATTAGTGGCAGCGGTCACGAGGTGAAGTACAACGTGCACGACACCGCCAAGGTGAAGCAGCAGACCTCGACCATGACGGGCGCCTTGGCCGCAAAGGGCATCGACACCGCGCAGGAGGAGTTCGTCGTGCGCCAGACGAAGCCCGGCTACTGCCGCTAAGCAGTACCGTCTGCAACCATGATCTCACTTGTACTCTCGAATATTTTTGAGCTTCTACCGCTTTTCCAGTTACCCAAAAAACGCAAGCACGTCTTCGACTATAGAAATCTGTAAATAGCATTGCCGTGTAAATAAATCTTTCAGCCGAGATCGCAGCTTGCGTTCATCGCGGGGCTTAGCTGTTATACATGGGACAAACTCGTTGTCGATAAACTTTTTTTCGTTCGTCTGTTGGGAACTTTGGGAGAAACAGATGCGCACTTATGTGGCTGCGTCTGGGATGCTTACGCCACTCGCCTCATTGATACCCCTCCCTAAATATACCTGGATCGACTTTGTGCATAAAATGACTGTGTTAGTACACTGATCACGCATGTGTGTTTGGAGATTTGGCGAAACTTAGATCCCTGGACGACCGGACTGACTGAGCGCCCCGAAAGGGTCAGCACTAAACATGTGCAGAAAATTTCAGTTCAATTGCTTACGTGTTTGATCGAATTTCTGAAGGCATGTGCGACCTTGACGTGTATTATGTGCCTACTGCCTGTCCCACTACCAAGTTGTTTAAAAGCTTACTCTACCACGTTACTTAGAGTTTGCGGAACAAAGCTTTAACCACTTATGCAACGTACTATTGAATCAAAATCGGCTTGATATAATCAACACTTTGCGCTGCACTTTTGCGTTGCTCATATTGGCGCTTGGAGGAGCTGTTTTCATAGCCAGTGCCCTCGACCACAGCTCAAATTCACACCCTTTAGCAGATGCACGTCGGTGCGGTAAATCACCGCCATCAGCCAAATCCACCTCGCTCCCACACGTCGTGACCCTGGCCCACAGCTAGTCCTCGCTGCTCATCTGCTTTTCGCGATGGACGACGGGTGGTGGTGGGCCAACAAGTGCGACGACAGCAACTGTCGCTGCACTTGGCCGTGGAGATCGATTGGCGCCTCCGGGTCGACGGCTAATGCCAGCCGGAAAATCAACCTCATGGGTCACTTCCGCCGGTGATATTTCGCTAAGATATGCGCCTAAATTATGCTAGGACAAACACTGAGTAAGTTATCACGTCGGTCTCATTTGAGCCTTCGGTACTGATGGTTGACACGTCTGAATCGTAGGTTCATGGCGCAATCAATGGAGTTTAGCAATCGTCATAATCTCCGCTATAGCATGGCAAGTTCGCGAGGTGTCAGCTAGTCGCTATGCCGACCAACTCTACGAGGATCTCATGTATTTCTACAACAAGAACGTTCGGCCTGTGAAGAACACTAGTCAGCCGCTAAAAGTGAAGTTCGGAGCGTCGCTTATTCGCATTATTGATGTGGTGAGTGGCTTTCAATACTCTCGATGAAGGGATAATACTAAACAACGTACAAGTTGGAACAGAGTGCTACTAAGATGCTCTTTGTTTTGTCTCATTTCGGATCAACGAGCTTAAGCCATCATAGCGGCCCTCTGGCGATAGTAGTAACGGAGTGCAGCGTTATGCTCGTTCAAGTCGGCCGGAGCGACTTCTTCTGGGTAGTCGTCGTTCGATGCTGCAACGTTTTGCGTTGGACTGCTTTCCCCGCCATAAGAAGTTGGAGCAGGAGGAGGTGCACGAGGTTTCTGCTCATTGCCGTAGGACGTAGAAGCCTCAGGCCGCAGTGCAGGAGCAAGGATTTGGGAGACGCCACAGTCCGAAGGACAGTAGGCGGATGGTTGACCTAAAAGTGCACATTGCTACATGTAGGGCTATTGGAGAAGGTACGAGGTTCGACCATCGATAAGCGCAAGGCATGGAGGCGAATTCATACCTGGCTCTCCCGGCGGTCCCCATGGCCCTTCGTCTCCGGGTCGTCCGGACAGTCCTGCCTGACCCGGTGGTCCGATGGGGCCTGGCTTTCCTGGGAATCCGACACCTTTCGATGCCTTCCCGGCCTGTCCCATCGGACCCTTCGGCCCAGCGGGTCCTGGCGCACCTCGCGGTCCTTTAATGCCGACACCAGCGATAACTTGATCACCTGGCGGACCGGAGGAACCCGGTTGTCCAGGACCTCCAAGCGGTCCTAAAAACAATGTAGAGATCTGTCCGACGCTTCCGATGTCCAAGACTTCAAAATTACCTGGCGGGCCGGTATTGCCGGGTGGGCCGTCGATGCCTGGTGTACCAGGCGGTCCTTGCTCTCCAGACAGTCCTGGAGAACCAGCTTGACCGCGCTCGCCTTGGAGACCCCTGAAAAGAAGACTACTCTGTGTATTGGTGGGTTCAGCTTACCTTTGTCCTGGAGGTCCTGCGGGGCATATAGCGCAAGGAAGATCGTCCTCGGGCTCCAGTTCGACGTCGTAGCCGTCCTCACCGGCCTTGCCAGGGTTGCCCGTCGTACCAGGCGCGCCATCTTCGCCAGGAGGTCCCGGAAGGCCTGGCCCTCCAGAGGGGCAGCTCAGTGGGCTACAGCCTAAAGTCAGCGACATACATTCGCTCAGTTGTGAATGCTAACCGGAGCAAATTTGCTTGCTCCACGGTGACCGCTGCTTGCGCGAGAAGAACGTGACCGGTGGTAGTGCTCCACCAGCACCGCTATCCGGCAACCGGCCGTTCTGCATAAGCTGAATGTTCGACCAAAGGCGGTTAGTATCTTCCTGGAACGGTTATCGGTTTATCAACAACAGTCACCGCCAGCTTACTCGAAACTTGTCCGACTTAGTGGCGATGACGTCACGGTCTCTAGTGACCCTGGAGCATAGCAATGGGATAGACACAGCCAAGATTACCACAGTTAGAGCGCTAACGAACATCGACCCGATTGCGAAGTGGTAGTAGAAATCATAGTTGTCAGAAGGTCTGCGCTTCATAGCGTCTGAAAACGAGAGTATTTTACAAGGACGAAGAGAAAGCTGGGAATCGGCATCTACGCCGAATATCTCACTTCAGATATCCACCCCAATGGCTACGTGTTACGAAAATCAGACTGCACGTTCAGTTAACTTAGGCGCATAAATTGTACTTCTTGGTGAGCAAAACTTACCAATTTCCGTGTAAGCTTGCCCCATCGTAAGCGCAAGATCAAATCCCTGCAAGCCTTGATCCGCCTTTTATACGCGTATGAAAGCGACTGATTTCACCTGATGCTTTCCACCTGAATAGCCGCATTTGGCGAGAAAGGCGTTCCTCTGAGCAGTGCGATCGCGCTGCTTCTTTGTTCTAATGGCGAGACAAAAACTATCTCTTGCGGTGGTTATCCGTTGTTTATGGATCGCGTTGCGCGAACGGAATTGGGTCGGCGTCGGGCGGTTGTAATCACCCGGAGAACGCGAGACGCATGGGATTCCGGGAGGATAATGCCGTCTTAAGTGCATTAACCGAAAGGGAAAGTTTTCTTTTTCGCGGGAGAAGGAGACGGATCAGCTTATCCTTGAAGCACTAGAAGCAGATTTTGAGCCGTATGTATAACGGACAGCACCCACGTGCAGAGTAGCTCAATCGCAAGTGACACGCTAGCAAGAAATTACATGCCGCTCGGCACAGAACAAAGCTAACCAGAAAGCTAGTGGGAGATATAAATTTGATGCATACTGCTGGACACTTGCTTCGAAGCATTAAAATTGAGTACGTAAAACCGCTCTCACGTTCCTCCTAGTGCGACAAACTAGGACTTATGCGAGTGTGATCTGTCTTTGCCATCGGCAGTGATGTAGACTGTATTTTTAGGAGAACCTTACAATTTTCTAACTCGTCTAATTTAGGACGAAGTCAACCAAGTGCTTACCACCAACCTATGGCTGGAAATGGTTAGTGTAATCTGCTTTCTCCTTTTTCCGATGCGTTAACTTGTAGCAATGGTGCGACTACAAGCTCGTCTGGGATCCTGCCAAGTTCAACAACATCAAGAAGCTGCACATCCCGTCCGATCAGATCTGGATTCCGGACATTATCCTGTACAACAATGCCGACGGAGAGCCGCATATCTCCATTACGAGTGATGCAATTGTCTACTACACGGGTCTAGTTGTGTGGAAACCGCCTAGCATCTATAAGTCCTTCTGTCAAGTAAGACGCTCGCTTGTTCAAGCATAGCATCTCTGGTAAACCGTATTTTAACGATGTGGAATAACAGGCACAAAGCACGACCTTAGTGCTTTAGATCGACATCGAGTACTTCCCCTACGATCAACAGTCGTGTAAGATGAAGTTCGGCGGCTGGTCCTACAATGGATTCCTTATGAACATGACACAGCTGCCGGTATGACGCCATTGAAGTAATACGTCATCTATTCATACTTAGAGCGGCCCGGACGACGTGATTGAGAAGTTGGAGGACGAATACGGGAAGGAATACTACTTTCTCAAGCAAGGGATGGACCTATCGTCGTTTTACCCGTAAGCCAAGTGTCACAGAGGCTACGTACTACTTTTGTTACTACTGCTTGTACCTACTCTTTTTGTGTTTTCTTTTCTATTACCATCCGTCAGAAAAGTACGAGCATTGTTCTCTCTTATTTGGAAGAATTTTTGTACGTAATTTTCGAGTTCTGCTTACCCAGAGTACGGATAGTGGTCCCAGGGTCTCTGCATCATTTTAGCGACTGCATTGTCCTTTCTCGACGACAGCGGGCTGTCCGTTGGAGAGAATGCTGCCATGATAGCTCAGTTGGGAGAGCGTATGACTGAAGATCATAAGGTCGCCGGTTCGATCCCGGCTCGTGGCAATTCTTTTTTGCCCTGTAGGAACCGATTTTTTCATCAGAATAAGCCGAAATCGGACAAAAATTCATCGAAATTCGACCAAAATTAGTCACTTACGACGATTCTCACCCGCTTGCTCGCCTTTACTTCCTTCTGTATATGGAGGCAGGAATAGGAAAACTCTGCTTTAACGTCGTCAATAATTCAACAAGCCTTTTTTGTCCACTCTGATAGTGTCAGGAAGAGCATGGTTTCAGAAGCCTCGAATGGGACCTTATGGAGTTGACTAGCAAACGTCACGAGCAGCTCTACCCGGGTTGTTGCGGGCAGGACTTTTACATCGACATCACGTTCGAAGTTAGCCTTCGGCGGAAGCCGCTTTTCTACACGGTCAACCTCGTCATTCCCTGCATGCTTATCGGTACGCTTACATCCATCTCCTTCTGGACAGCTTACACATTCAGCAATTTTGACCATCTTCGTGTTCTACGTGCCCGCCATTGAGCACAAGATGACCTATTCCATCTCAGTGCTCGTCACGCTCACCGTCTTCTACCTGGTTCTCATCGAACTCATCCCACCGACGAGTCTCGTCATTCCGCTAATCGGAAAGTACCTGCTGTTTACGATGTTTCTGGTGTCCTTCTCCATCGCCATCTCCGTCGTGACGCTCAATTTTCACAGAAGGTAACGACGTCATGCTAGGCGTTCCCAGTATACGCTCGTCGCTCCTGCTTCTTTCCTGCAAGCATGTACTGACCCTAACACTACATTTGCAAAGTCCTCTTGCTTGTAGTATGAGACGGTCATTTCAAAACTGATTAATCCTTGCAATCACGCTTGTAAAGTCCATCTTGCTAAAATGGGGCCTTATTAGATATGCTGCGCATTTAGAGACGGCACGCTGCACACAATGCCCAATTGGGTGTACGTTGTGTTCATTCGGTTCCTACCGCGACTGCCCTTCATGCCGAAGAGGGCACCGGATGACGATGATGTGTCCGACAACGAAGGGAGCACCATGTCCGGTAAGCGACTGGTCGATGATCGCTTAAAACAGCGTACTTTGAACGACTGACTACAAATACAAGTTACTCATCGGAAACGTCGGATTCTGGCTAGCGACTGCATGAGCATTTGTAACTCGACTGTAGTTAGCAACGGAGGTCACTTATAGAGATGCAAGCACTTTCCCCACCGAATTCCCGGCGTGCTAGTCCGTACTTCTTGAACGTCTCGGCGATGGCGGACGAAGAACTGAAGCTTTCTCAACTGGCCCAGCAGAGAGGAATGGACACCGACTTAATACGGCGCATGATCAACAACGTGTGCTTTATCGCGGAGCGCTTCAAAGTCCAGAAGAAGCGGGATCAGGTAGGGACTTGACGAGATGAGACGCTTGCTTACTCCAGTTTTGCGAGCTTGAAGGACAGCTTTAGATCTCCGAGAACTGGTCCTACGTAGCGATGGTGATGGACCGCCTTTTGCTGATCGTCTTCACGCTAACGAACATCGCCGGTACGATTCTCATTCTCACGCAAGCACCAGCCCTGACGGACACTCGGGACCCGCTGAGAATCACACCGGCAACGAAGCCATTGAGTGGTGATACCTTCGAGTACAGCGTCCGTACTGCCAATTTCACGACGATCTGTGACGACCTATGATACTGTGGCATTTTGAGCACGTGAAGAAAATAAAGAAAGAACTAAAGGGTTGAACTCTTTGAAATTTATTGATAATGATATTTTTGAAAAAAAAACATTGATGTTACAGGAGGGCATGGTCTGATTACTCTATGAACATTTATCCTGCTAGCCACAGCGTACGTTTCGAGCCGTTAGTCCTGAGAGACTAGAGCGTAGAGTTTATTGCGAAGTATCTGATGAAAGCATTGTAAAGACGAAGATTCCATAGAAATTCTTGCATGCGCTTAATGATGCCCTCCGTGCCAGTGCCATTCACCAGAGCGGCGAGTGCGGCCGCCATCGCTAGTCTTTCCTACCGGTTTAGTGGCATTGTTAGTGGGCGAATCGCCTTCCTCAGGAGCCGCCTCGATGATCGGAACGGGTGCGGGCGCACTGTTTCTGCGAAGGCGAAGCTTGCTGGCAGCAGAAGCGGTACCGTTGTTATTGGTGGCGCCGTCCTCCGCTGCTTCAGTCATGGGTTGCGGGGCAGGCTCACTGTTGCGACGAGTACGAGCGTTAGCGGCAGTAGGTTCCGTACCGTTGTTGTTATTGGCGTCATCCTCCGCTGCTTCGATGACCGGCTTTGGCGCAGGAGCGCTGTTGCGACGAGCACGAACATTAGCAGCCACAGGTTCCGTACCGTTGTTGTTGTTGGCGTCATCCTCCGCTGGTTCAATCATGGGTTGCGGGTCAGGCTCACTGTTGCGACGAGTACGAGCATTAGCGGCAGTAGGTTCCGTGCCGTTGTTGTTGTTGGCGTCGTCTTCGGCTGCCTCGATGGTCGGCTTCGGCGCAGGGGCACTGTTTCGACGTACTCGCAGCATACCGACAGCAGGTTCCGTACCATTGTTAGTATCGTCGTTAGCGGCTTCGATGATGGGCTTCGGAGCAGGCGCATCGTCGTCAGGCAGCGGGTCATCCATGGCACCGGAGTACTGGCCTCCTCCGGACGACGGCGGTGGGCTTGGAGCAGAAGGTGGGCTGGACTCGGATTCGCCACCGCTACCGCTGTAGCTCATCGACGATGGTGGTGGTTCCGGAGCGGTCTGCAATCAAGATCATTTAGCGATCATTCTACACTAGCAGGAGGCATACTTCATCATGATGGGTTATTTTTCTAATGTTTCCTGTCGGGAGCTCTTTACCACAACCGATTTTAAGCAGCGGCGTCGCTGTTCCCCAAGCTTCAGAAAGGTTTAAGGCTCTTGTTCCGACTTGACTCTCTGCGCTTCTATGCATGCTTTTGTCTTACAGTCCTTGATTGCGGAAGTACTTGATGTGCGCTCGGTCCCTCATAACGCAGTAAACATGTATTAACGTTGCAGCGCACATTAGCCAGTGAATGTGTTTTTGAGGGTGAGTCCGGAGAGACCACTTTTCTTGCTTACTCTTATTCTCTTTCTGTTTGGTTGGTTTTTCGATGAACCGTTGCATGTCAGCTTTGAACACTTATTTTAGCAAGACCATTGCGGATCAAAAACTAGACCTGGGGCCGTGTTGCAGAATTTTAGAGCTAGTCTACGTGCTGCCTACAAACCTAAGCCGAACACATCAACACGCATTCAACTACACCTTACGTCTTTCAGATCTGCTTTCAGAGAATAGCGGGCTTATATGGTTTACAGCGGCATTAATCGTACCAAACGAATCGGTATGCATCAGGATTCCTATTTCCTCGTCCCTATCTAACAACTCACCTTACAACATATGGGCCACGAAAGGACTTTTAGGGCTTACGCTTAGTTAAAAGTTCATACCTGATACCCGCCGGCATTCACTGGACCCGCTAGAAGACCGACGAGAAGGAGGATCAGGACGTTGCAGGTCGACATGGTTTACGAATGTTCGTTTCGAGACGAACTTTGTCCCAATGTGAAATTCTCGAACTTATATACTCCGATGCCGCTCGATGCCCCATTCCAAACCACGCAAATATTTGGTGAATCGTTTTTGAACGCATGAGTCAACACAACCCGTCGAAGTCGCCTCGGTTTCGCGAAAAAAACTACGGCAGATGGCCTATGTTGGTCTCCATTCGCGGTGGAAGATCCCCATCCTCATATTAATGAGGTCATTTTCGACCCTTCAAATTAGTCCCCGCACGCCACCAGCGTTTGTTCGGTTTTGTCGCAGCAGGTGGTGGTTGCGTGCGACGACTTGGATGACGCTTGCAGCCGCGGAGGGGAAAGTGACTTCCTGAAAAAGATTTGCGGACACAATCGATGCATTGAATGGGCCTAATGCCGTGTTCTACGTGACATTACGGCAGTCGACGTCTATCAGTTGTCAAGTATTGTCCAACGTGCTTCTTGAACGAAATGTTGATTCACTTGCCCAGAGCAATCGAGAATCTAACCCGGCATAAGCAATAAATAGCTGCATACATTCATGAAGATGTAGTGAAGTGTTTTGACGAAGGCACGCCATTGACGGTTGCTATGGCTAGTGATAATGTTGCTCGTAAGTTTTCAAATCCATTTTAGTGATGTTTTCGTAGAATCACTGACGTCGTCTGGTACACATTTTTCTCGAGTAAAATGCCACCAAAAGTAAGAACTTGTGGACGCCATGGTAGACTTAAACCGGATGTAGTCAATGAAATCGACAAGAAAGTGCTATTTCAACACTTACTGCACTTTTGATTTCGTCCTAAAAACAACCCCATAAGAATGTGGGAATGGCAGCCGAAATGGGTTGCCCTGCAAGATTCAGACGACGACAAATAGACCATCTAATCCTGCACCGGAACTGTAGTGACGAAGTCTGCATGTGTCAACAATGCGTCTGCGCGAGACTAGTGGCCAGGGCCAAAACAAGCGTGGCGCCAGCTTCCTTCGTGCGTGCCAAGCATGTTATTCCATGCCGAATTTCGCGGTTCCACTACCGAAAAGGGCGCATCTTCGGGAATCAAAACACAGTAGAAAACAGGGCATCTGCGTCACGGCTGATTTCCTGCTGGCCTTGGTGGGAGATCGAAAAGCAATGCGAAGCGAGCCATTTTAAAGTACCCATTCGGTCACGATGGCCTCGGCTTTGATGCCGTGGGAGACGACCAGGGCGTCGGTGCCTAATTTATTCAGTGCCGCATGAGCAGGTTAACTCCGGCCGATTAGAACCAAAACCGTTTTGGGCCCACGAGGCATTATTAAATTGGTGGTCCCAGCGGAGACGTCGGCCTCACGAGGCTTCCCTTCTTCTTAGTGCCATTGTCCATCCCGATATTTAAGGAGGAGGTACTCGTCTTCGAGCTTGCTTTGGGCATCAGGTTTGAGAAGCACGCGACTAGCGTTGTGACCGCAATTTGTCATCAAATCCTTAAACCATGACTTCATAAC